CTTTCAACTGAACACTCTCTAGCTTTTCATTATCTCCTTTAATTTGTGCTGCCTAGAACTGAACATACTACTCCAGAATGAGGGCTGATAAGAGCAGTGTACAGGAGGACCATCTCCTCCCTATTCCTGGAAGCTATGACTCTCTTAATGAGCCCAAGATCACATCCAGTGCTCACCATGATGCCTGGCACATAGTAAGTGCTTAATGACTGACATTAGCTTTTGGGGCTGTCATATCACACGGCTGATTTATATTCAGCTTCCATTGGTAAAGCTCAGGCCTTTTTCCAGAACAACCTCAGGGTATCCATGCCTCTGCCATCTTGTACTTGTAAATCTAGTTTTATGGCCAAGTACAATCTTTTAAATTTATCTCTCCTCAGTTCTCTCAATGGCCCAAGGTTCAGGCCATTTCTTATATGTCCGGATCCTAATTCTGTCATCCAGCTTATTAGATGTCCCTCCTAGCTTTGGTTTATTTGCAGATTTGGTGACATTAATGGTCATTAATTTCTGTAGACAATGGTGACATTAAAATGATCAAGCTTGGCCCCAGAGAAGAAATGAAAAAAAAAATAACTCCCTGCCTTCATTGAAGAGGTGGGGGACAATGGTGGGGAACATTTCACCTATTATCAGACACAACCGTGCTCATTTTGACAAAATGCCTTTTTTTCCTCCTCCCTTTCTTAATCTTTGTTACAAGGGATGGTTCCTCGGGTGCAGAAGGGATATATTCAGAAATCAATGTTATGGAAAAACAAAAGGCATCAATAAAAATTAAGATACAATTTCTAAAACAAAAAAAGCAATTGATTATAAAAGACCCTGAAGCTTAGCAAGATCCTTTGGAATCAACAGAGATGCTATGTAGAAATTTGACTTAGTCATCTCTACCTGAATTTTAATTCCTCACAAAGAGTTTTTTTAAGGGCATTTTTGGTAATTCAGGTAACTAGACTATTTAGATTACTAGCCAAAATGGCCTCTCTCTATCCTGCTGGGAAGTTACTACTGCATTTTGTATAGAGTGCAATATAGTGGCAAGTGTACTCCATTGGCTGTTTGCAAGGCCTGACTCTGATGCCTGCTAGCTGTATGAGCAAGGGAGGGACAACTTCAGCTCTCTTGGTCCTTAGTTTGCTTTTTCTATAAAATAAAGAGTTTAAAGTAGATAACATGAAGTCAGAGGACCTAGGTTCAAATTCTACATTGGTCACTTACTAGCTGTGTGACTTTAGTCATGTCACTTAAACTCCCTCTTCTTCAGGGGCAAATCATTTGCATCATTTACAAAAGGTTGGGGTTTCTAGCTCTAGATCAAGGACCTGATGACCTCTAAACCCCTTCTTGCTCTATTAATTATTTCTCTATTATTTCATAGTTCTATGAAAACATTTGAATAGCACACACCACTACTCATTATTCAAGGTTATACTGCCACCTGGTGGCCAAAATCAAGCTTTACAACAAGCCTTTCAGTATTTGTCAATTCAGCTCAAAAGTTCGAACTGCTAGAAAAGACTTTAGAGCTCAGATGCTAAATGCTCACCTAGTGTAACACACTCATTTTACACATGAGAAAACTGAGTCCCAGAGGGGGAACCATCCTCTCCAAAGGCACACAGCCTAGCACGTAACAGAGCCAAGTTTTAAACCCAGAACCTTTCATCTTCAGAGCTGTTGTTTTTTCCCCCCAATTCACCACTAGATTTCATAAAGCCTTTGAGCTGAAAAGTCTGTGAATCCATACAGTCAACTGTATAAATATTTCTTCCATCAAACCAATTCTTCAGTAGAATGTGAATTTTTTAAAAAACTCAAATTGTTTCAATGTTTTTGTCATGTTCAGTTCAATTCCATAAACATTTATTAAGTGCCTACTATGTCCCTGGCACTCTGCTAAGTGCTGGGGATACAAAAAGAGGCAAAAGGCAGTCCCTGCCCTCACAGAGCTTGCGATCTAATATCCCTAGGCCAGTGTCTGGCCCAAGATAGGCATTCCATAAATAACTAAATAATTATTTAATGTCTGTGATCCCTGCTCTCATGGAAATTAGTCTAATGGGTGCCATACAACACACAAATAAAGATAATACAAAATATTATGCAACATGTGCTTGAAAATGGGATCTAGAAGGGCCTGAGGACTTTCACAAAGGAAACTTAGTCATAGAGTCATTGGATACAGTATGAGTACTGCAGGAGCCCCCCTTGAGATGAAGGGATGAAACCACAGACCAAGTCAGAGGAAGGCAAAGATTGTGTTTGTGGCAGGGTGGAGTAGGGGGGTGAAGGGGGGTGGGTGCAACTCAGCCTTTCCCCTCTGGTTTCTGGCATGAGAGGCTGTTGACTTGCTGTTCCATTCCATAGGGTTAGAAGGAGAGAACAAGTAAAGAGCTGCTAGCCCCCTGCTATTTGCTGCTGATGGCAACCAATCAGAGTGTGCCCTAATTGCTAAATTTTCTGTGTGAGCATTTACACTTCAGAAATAGGCAAAAGGATCCGTTTATTGTTTTCTTGATTGTCTAGACTTAAGAAAATTATGGAGAAAATGTTAATAATGCACATTAAAGTTAAAAATGTGTCCTGAAACATTTTTTTCCCGAGGAGCTGGTTGTTAAATATTTACCATCATACCCCTAACCACCAATAAACTTCTTCAGCCCCAAGCTGGGAGCCATGAGAGAAGGATGGAGACAGATCCTGTAAAGCAGAGGTTCTTAATCTAGCATTCATGGACTTGCTTTAAAAAAAAATTTTTAATAAACATTTTTCTAGTATAATTGGTTTCTTTTGTAATCCAGTATATTTTATTTTATGCATTTAAAAACATGATTCTGAGAAGGGGCCCTCACCCAGAATGCCAAAGGGGTCCATCACACACAAAATGATTAAGAACAAGAACTCTGCTTGAGAACATCATTGTGGAGGCAGAGAGACCCTGGGGCAGAGAAGAGACCAAGGCATTTCAGTGGGAGGAAGACCATGGAGCAGAGGCTGGAACTGAGGAAAGGCTGGGACTGAGCAAAATCATGCTTGTAGCTGCTATGAAACCACAACAACCAATGGGATTGGTCTGGGGAACCGATCTCAACTCCTGGAGCTTTGCCCTTCTGGTTTTTATTTTTGTTTTTGTTGAGCTAAGTGAGCAATCCCATTCTTTCATCTTTCCTAGGTGCAGGTGAAAGTGGGGTAAGGAGATAGAGGTAGGAAATGATTGGGTGATGTGATCCAGGAGAGGGGAGTGCTTGACAGTTTCTTTGAAAGTTTACTTTATTGGGTTTTAATAATTGACTGAAAAGCCAGTTGACTGAATCTTAGAAATGAGATTTCTTGGCAAAGAGTGGGGGATTTTCTATGTTAGGAATGGGGGGGGCTCTAGAAAAATATATAGATTGTCCTGTCTTTTAATATTTGAAAATGGCATTTCCTTTCCATACAGACCATTTGTAAAATCTAGGCGCCACCATGGCAAATAGAATGGAGCACTGGGAAGGAGATGTGGGCAGTGGGGATATGCAGCCTTTGGGGAGGTTTTCATTTGGCTTTAGGCTTGAGTGTAGCTGGACAAAGGATTTATTACATTCTTTTTCAGGTTGGTTTGACAGCCAGCTAACTTGGAAACTATGTCATCTGGATACACACCAGGTATGTGCCCTGGGTGTATACCCAGCCTGAGCTACTGTGACAATCAGATGGCAAGTGCACTAGAAGGGTGAAAAACAAAATATGGTCTGGAAGGAAAGGTCATTACCAACTATGCAGATCAGAGAGGACTTCACGGAGAAGCTGGCATCCGAGTTGGGGCAGTAGAGAAGAGGTAGGGAATGGGGTGGAAGTGGGGCATCAGAAGCCGTGTTTGGGGCACAATCATTTGACTTGGAGTATTGAGTCTGTGAAGAGGGACTCGAGATAAGAGCAGGAAAGCTAGGGTGGTTCCCAATGGTAAATGGACCATGCTAAGGAAAGGAATCCAAAATGGACTTATTGCAAGACCTGGGTTCAAATCCTGCCTCTGACCCATTCTACTTGAGTAACCCTGAGCAAGTCACTTAACCTCTGAGCCTCAGTTTCCTTATTTTTAAAATTCTAGGCCTACATCTATGATCTTTCAACTCATCTAAAGGTCTGCATTAGTTCTGTGTTCCTGGTTTGGGAACCTCAAGAGTGACAGCATGCACTCATAATTACAGTCTATTCTGTATACAGCTTGTTTGTATATAGTTATTGGCTTGTTGCTTCCCTTATTAGACTGTGAACTCCTTGTGGGCAAAGATTGCCTTTTGCCTTTCTTTGTACCCCTAATGCTTAGCATAGTGCTTAAGCTTTGGTATGACCTTGGGCAAGTACCTTCGCTTCTCTGGGACTCAGTTTTACCATCTGCAGCACTGTATAGACGAGGGCACTGGGCCATGATGCGGGAGACCAGGGTACTTTTGTCCCTCCTCGGCTACCTTGGGAGAGTCATGTATAGTATCAGAGATTTGAGAACTGGGAGAGATCTTTCAATACTCTCATTTTATAAATGAGGAAAAGGACGCCCAGAGAGAATATACTTTTCAAGGGCAGGGCTTTTCATTTCTTCTTTGTATCCTCTGAAGCTGGCACACAGAATGTTTGCTGAATAAAAATGAAGAGAAGGAAAGTGATTTGCCCAAGGTCATTCAGATCCCCTGACTACAAAACTAGAGATCTTATTATTGCACTATGCTGCCTCTCTGGTCCTCAGTTTCCTCATCTGTGAAATGCAGCTGTTGATCTATGATCAAACATACCAAGGAAAGCCAAGAGAAGCAACTGCGGAAGGGCTGGGGTGGAGGAGAGACGAGGACACAGCAGTGTCTTGGAAGTCAAAAGAAAACGAGGTATTGAGAGTGGATGGTTGATAGAGGCAGATCCTGCCAGAAGATCCACACCACTGAATTTTGTGATTGAGAAGTCCCTGGTGCTCTTGGATACAGTACCGAGGACAGATTCTAAGGGGCTGAGTCACTGTATGAAGAATACAAGCAAAACATTTATTAAAGACTAACAGCAGACTCTGCTCCTGGGGAAAGGGGCTGGGGTTTGAAATAATAATGGGCAGATGAAGTGGTTCTTTGGGGTGGTTCTGTCAACGTCTGGTTGTATGGGTCCTCTCTGAACCTCATTTATGCTCAGCTGTACAGAATCGTGACCTATCTCACAGTAAAGTCAAAATGCTTAGATTAGTTTCTAATTCTGGGCTAGTACCACCTTCAAGAGGCAGGTAATAAGGAAATATACCATTCTTTTTAACCCAATGAACATCTATTAAGCACTTATTAGGGCCCATTTCAGGTGCTGCAGGAGATACAAATATAAACATGACTTCTTCACAGCTGGGATCTTAGTGCAAAATCTTTCGACTCATTCCTATGCCTGATCCTATAAAAAATAAGGGGGGTTGGAAGAAATCTCTACAGCTCCTCTGATCTCTAAACCTGTGAACCTAATACTTTGGGTTTAGCTACTGCCCTGTGACATTGTGCTGCAACATCATTTAATCGCCTGGTTCCCGATGCCTTGTCCTTATTCTTCTGGGCTCTACAGGACCCTGGCAAGTGGCTTAGGCCTTTGTCCTAGGCTTTTGGCCATGGCCAGGAGAAATTATCACAAGGCATCTTTATGCAGACTTAGCACTCAGTAGTTAAATAGCTTTTATATTCCTGGTAGGTCTGAGGATTTTGACAGCCTTAATGGGCATCATCTAACTTGGTCATTTCAGAAACTCATAAAAGGTAACCTGAACTGCTGAGCCCTGGGAGGAAATGCATTTTTGTTTCCCATTTAACCAAAATAATTTGCATTCCTGATCTTTTGTTAGAGTGATGTCTCTTTCAAACAGCTTGGCTAGTCATGAATCACTCCCATCATCTTGAGCTTATTTTTAACATTTCTGAATGTGCCCTAAAAGCAAATGCTGTTAAGTGAGTTGTCTATACTATTTTTGCACATAGACAAGCACTGAAAATGAATTCACAGGAGGAAATGAAAGTCAAAGTTTCAAAAATTAGATCTGCTGATAGTTGCTAGATGCCAGGCTTCTCCTCCCTCCTTAAACAAGAATACCTGGAACATATAGTTCCTGTTCTACGGATTCTCAAAAGGCATGCTTTTTTTGGTATAATGGAAAGAGCATTGGATTTGGGAGTCAGGAGACCTACCTTCAGACTCCGACGAGCTGTGTAATCACACAAGTCACTTAAATTTTGTTTCATCTGCAAAATGTGGACAATACTACTTAATTCATAGGGTTGGTTTGTTATGAGGATGAAATGAGAAAATATATCGATGCACATTATAAATCAGAAAGGACTATGCAAATGTCAGTTATTACTAATGTGGAATAGCTCTAGAACAGAATCCATCCATTTGCAAAGCTCTGAAAAACCATTTACTTCTTCTAGGAGACCAACCATTTAAATCTTGGACTTAGTATCGGAATAGCCATTTTGGCAATGCTTGCACTGAATGCCTTGCCAGGAGACCTGTCACTAACAACTCAGGGAATGGTATTTCTTCCTAAGTAAGGAAGACTCCAAGCTGTTATAGGAATAGAACCAGAGGGTGAAATTTTCCACTTCAGTGGCAGTTTCTATATCTTTCTGGAGAGACCAAGTTGGAGAGACAACAGTGGCAGTGGCAGTAGCAGCAACAGAGGGAGGACACTCTTCAGTAGACCTGCTCCAATCCTTGCAACAGCATACAGAGCCTTTTCCTTTCCTTGGTTCCACTCTTGGCATATTGAGTCCAGCTAAGAATGACTAAATTATAGCTTCTCAGAAAAACCAATGGAACATTAGTGAATTTATACTATTATTTCTGTTTTACTGATACATGCAATGGGTGACATGGCTCATTACTAAGCATCTTAACGCTATTTTAAATTTTGTTTACTGGTTATTTGCATTTTTAAAAACCAGTGATTTACTAGAGAAAAAATTTTTTTATTGGATACTGACTGGGTTGGTGCTTTTATTATAGAGTGATGGTGGATGGGGTGGTCAGAGGAACCACCAAATTCAACTGGCTGGGAGACCACCTTCTCATCTTGGTGATCAATATTGACTGCCTGGAGTCTCAAAAATTTTATAAATCTTATTTACAACCTGTATTTTTTAAAAAGATTTCTAGCCTTGCAAAGAAAGGGAGTCACATGGAACTGGGACCTTGGCCCTACAAGAGGGATCCTTAACTACTTTTGTGTCATGGATCCATTTGGCAGCCTGGTGAAGTGCATGGACTACTTTTCCAAATAATGTTTTTAAATTCATAAAATACAGAGGATTACAAAGGAAACCAATTGTGGTGAAAGTCATTAAAAAGTTAATGGACTCCAGGTTATGAGTCCCTGCCCTAAACTAAAACCTTCATAAACAAAGCTCATTATCTCCAGACAGGTCACTTTGCCTTTGGGTTTTTCTCCACGTCTCCTGTTATTTTTGGGTTTCTTTTCTCCTTGCCTCCAATCCATTCCCTCTCAATCTGTCTGCTACATCAGATATGTCAAAACATGAGGGCCTGGCTGTATGTGGCCCCAACCCTCCTGAGTGTGGCCTGAACTAGATTAAAATGTAATTGGGAAGTATTTAACAAAATAAAAATGCATTTTACACTCCAGAACAACTGAGTTAATTTTTGCTTCTTCTTCATATCCAGCCTTGTTCTGCCCCCATGAATCTGCTCTTTCCATCCTCTATACCTGAAATGGATGCCCCTCTGCCCAAATACTTCATCTGTGGGGGCCTCTCTTTTTAAGTACCAGCTCAGATTCCATACCTCCCCTCACTCCACAAAAAGTGAAAATGTCTTTTCTCAAATTTCTCATAGACTTCTGGCATTTATCTCATTCTCCCTTTTTCCCATTATTTGTGTACATGTGTTATATAGTGTACATGTCCTTCGGCCCATCCCATTAGACTATAAAGTTTTTGTACAAACATCTAACAGTGACATAGTAAGCACTTAATGTTTGCTGAACTGAATACATATACATATAAAATATAGTATTATATCCTACCACACAGAAAGACAGTTTCCACTTATTAAATTACAGTATATGAGCTACATATACAAATAAAATCTTCGTGTAAAATATTTAGGGTTTTAAAAAATATATATGTATATAAAAATACTGGAAACGCAAGTCTTATTTTTTTACAAATGTAAAAATAAAATTCTGGATACACAACTTTTACCCTGACTAGGAAAAAAATGCACAGTAGTTATCAAGTGTGTAGTAACATATTACCTAAATGTTTGCAATTATCATGTAAACTGAAAGTTTATAAAAACCCTCTGGGTTTTCTGACTCAAGCTATTATCTAACAACATGTAGCACAGTGAAAAGAAAACTGGATCGGTAGTCAGGCAAACTGGATTGAAAAGGCTCTGTGTAGACCTGGGCAAGTTTTCTGACCTTCAGCTTCCTCTTCTGTAAAATGAGAGGGTTAGATAAGGTCTCTGAAATCTTTTTCTATATCCGACATTTCTGCTCTACCTATGAGATCATGGACATGTCATTTCTCTGGGGCGGGGGGAGAAAGAGGTGGGAAGGGAAAGACTATTTCAGTTGTCTTATTTATAAAATGGAACAGAGCACTTCTAAGGTCCCATAGAGATATTATGGTCTGTGACTGTGATCTGTGCTTTGCCCTAATGATGGGCCAAGGCTGATGCTACAACTTGCCTTCTCTCTACTCCCAAGAGCAAGGAGTTGGTCATTTTCTCTTACAATGGTTAGAATGGGGCCTGCAAAGTGAAAAGTGATTAAAAAATCTGGTCATGATCCCAGTCTGGCAAGTTCTAAGCTGAACGAGAATTAATAATAGAATGTGTTACTGATCTAACTCATTTTCATTTTGTAAAGTCTTCATAGCTAAACCCCAAAGAGTCATACTAGAAAAAAAAGGTCCTTCCGAGCTCCTGTAAGTGGCAGACGATGACCGGTTGCTCAGTGCATCATTACAATGATTGTCAAGAGCTGCCACAGACGAGCGAATCATGGACATACTATCAGACTGCAGGGGCTCTTCAGCAGCTGATGTGGCTACCTCTGGGAAAGCATAAGACTGATGAGGTGTCTGCTGCATCTGAGGTTTGGGGAGTTTAGCAGCATCGAGACTCAATTTCTCCTGGTCAGTAACTTCATTTTGTTGAATCATGGACCTCAACTTGCAATAGGAACCTGATGAAGTGCCACTAAATTCCACTGAAGAATTCCCTACTGGACGGACAGGGAGCTTCACAGATCCTGGCAACAAAGTAACTGACATATCTTGGGAAAAAGAGTCCGAGCTCTGAGACTTTTCAAGATCAGATGTTTCATCGACTCGCGCAAACTCATCGTGTGCTGTTGGACTCTCAGCGCTGGCCTCACAGTGCATTTTTTTGTGTCGCCGAAGCACAGCAGAGCGAGAGAAGCATTTGTTACAAATTTCACAGGTATATGGCTTTTCTCCAGTATGAGTTCGGACATGCCTGCGTAGGTCACCTGATTCCCCAAAGCATTTCCCTAAAATTAGGACAAAAGAAAGAAAAATGTTTTTTTTAAAGAAAAAGTGATCATTGAAAAGATTTAACTTTTAGAAAACATTACCCAGTCACATTCATATGGTACTTGAAGTTTATAAAATACTTTCTTTGTCTCAATAACCTCACCAGCTACAGCACCAGTAGAGTACAAGCAACATTCTCCCCTTTTACATTTGAGCACACTGTGGCATGAGCCAGCTGGAACTCCCAGCCTGGGGCTCCTTTTTCCTCTACCATCCCACATCTTAGCAGTCCTATCAGAGAATCTAAAGAAGCAAATAAAACACTCTAGAGGAAATGTCTTATGTTTAAGAAGAAAAAACCCTTCCCTTTTTACCAGCTGATATGACTATCATTCACAGACTCCTCTGTCCTTGGGCCTTCATGGATTTCTAGTTGTTCATGTGGAACAATCGGTTTGGACTAGACAGTCTCTATGACCACACACCACCACTAATGAAATCTCACTGATGGGCCGCCAAGGCCAGCGGGCTGCCCTGGAGAGTGCTTCTAAGAGATGTTTGGTGTGAAGGCATGGTTACTCTAGTACACAGTCACATATGAACTGCCTGGACCTTTATGAAAATGAGCCTCCTTGAATAGCTTTTTCTTCCCTTTCAAGTCCATCCTCCACACTAATGCCAGATAGTCTAACTTATATAGATCATGTTACTGCTCTGAACAACAGTAATAATAATAGTTAGCATTTATACAGCACTTTAAGGTTTTGCAAAGCACTTTATAAGTGTGATCCTCACAAACATGCTGGGAGGTATGCTATCATAGTCCCCATCTCATAGGTTAGGAAACTGAGGCAGAGAGAGGTTAACAGTGATTTTGCCCAGGGTCACACAGCTAGAAAAAAAAAGCCTTCAAAGATCCCTATTCCCTTACTGATTAAACTTCAGATTGTGGATAAAGGCCCTCCATAATCAGGCCCTATGATAACTTCCCCATCACATCTTCTAGACTGTACTACACACTCCAACCAAGCTGGACTGTTGTTTCCAAAAAATCCCTATGCTTTCCCAGATGAAGAAAAAGTAATGGGAAGTGACTTACCCAGGCCAAACAGGCAAATCAGTGGCAAGATTGGCATGAGAAGTTGGGGTGTCTCATGGAAAAATGTTCTTTCCAATGAGCAGAGCAACCTTCAGCATGTCTAATGTGTATAAAACCTCCTTTATCTGGAGGCTGCTTATCAGTCAATCTCAATTATCCAAAACAGTCAAGAGCATAAAATGTTTAAAAAAAAAAAAAGAAAGCTCTTCTGATGTGCTAAAACAGATGTCACAAAATTTATGTTCTAAAACTTGTGAATTTTATTCATTCAGTACATATTCAGTCTTATTTTAGGATCCCTAACTTCTCAGCCCATATATGATTAGAAATGGCAAATTACAAAGAGGCAGGGTGAACTGTTAAGAGACACGAGCACTGACAGATGGAAGAAGTGGCAATAAAACTACAAACCCCCAAAAGCCAAGTAATCTGGAGTCATTTACTCTGGGGATGGTTAGCCTGGCACACCTCAATGGCCTCTGAGACACGATAGTTTCATAAACTAAAACAGTATCTAGTGTTCATAAAGATCTTCGGTCATCAAGGTAAGGCTGCCTTTTGTTCAGTATCTTCTGTTTGAGAAACAGATGGATTGTCATTGGCAGAAGACCAGCCTTGGGTCAGGAAGATCTGGTTTCAAGTCCTGTCTGATATAAGCTGCTTGTGTGACCCTGGACAAGTCACTTCATTTCCCATGCCCCAGGCAGCTCTCGAAGGCTTTAAGCAAACAGGACCTGCAGACCTGCATCAGAGGGAGTTTCTACATCAGGGGTGATGTACACTGAATGAAATCATTGGTTTGGCTCCCCACTCCAAATCCTCTGCTTAAGGAAGTTGGAAAGAATCTATTACATCTTAAGAAGAAATTTCAAAGAAAGCTAAAATAACCAAGGTTTTGGCATTTAATACGGGTATGTTTCAGTTGGCCAGAAAATGCCTTTATGTGAGACAGTTCATTTCTAGAAGGTGCCAGCTGAATTACAGTATAAGCAATATGAAGAAAAAATACGTAATTTCAGTGAAAATTCTGAGCTCTGTACAGAGGTGGTAGGGAAGCTTGAAAAGAAAATTCTCTCAGAAGTCATTACTGAGAGGCTTATTTGTAGCTTTGCACCTGATGATCAGAGAGATAAGAATGGGGAGTCCTAAAAAGAGAAGATAAAATGGAATCGAGATGATTCATTAGGCATATACCTGATTAGGAAATTTTGCCTTTATTTCAAGAAAAAAGCCAGCTGCATTGCCTCACCTTACCAAACAGGAGATGTCATAGTCCTCTTCGAGAAAGAAGGACAAACAACAACAATACTTCCTTGAAGAAAACCAGGAGTGTGTTTTTTGTGTTTCATTTAATTAGCAAATTTAAATCTTGAAGAAGGAACAGAGAAAGGAAAACAGAAGCAGAGGGAAGGAACTAGAGGAAGAAGGAAAAGAGTAGGAAAACAGGGAAGCAAAGGAATAACGACTGAAAGGCAGTACAGAAGGAATGGGGAGAGGCAGGAGAGCAGGATGAGACACCATGGCCACTGAAACACATGGGTGGCTACATCCCTGCCAAGTGGCTCTAGCCTGTGCAGGAGATTATTCCAAAGCAGATTTAAGTATTACAAAGTGGGATAGATTATACTGGAAACCAAATTAAAATGCCCAAAGGCCCCACTTTCAGTCTGGACTCAGTGTCTTTGCATTGTGAAAATTTGGCTAATTTGCTATAAAGGAGTATTGAGAGAAGTCAAGCATTTATTGAGAACCTATGGGACGGGGAGTTATTATAATAGCTAATATTTATATAGTTTTTTCTTTTTTTTTTTTTAAAGCAGTTGGGGTTAAGTGACTTGCCCAGGGTCACACAGCTGGTAAGTGTCAAATGTTTGGTCTGAGACCGGATTTGAACTCAGGTACTCCTGACTTCAGGGCCGGTGCTCTATCCACTGTACCACCTAGCTGCCCCTATATTTATATAGTTTTGAGATCTGCAAAACACATTACATATCTCATTTAATCTTCATTACAACCCTATAATGAAGATGCTATAATCCCCATTTTACAGATGAGGAAACTGAGGCAGAAAAAGGTTAAGTAACTTGCCTAGGGTCACAGAGCTACTAAATGTCTAGGGCAGAATTCCAGCTCAGGGCTTCCTGACTCCAGTTTCAGCCCTCTATCCACTGTGACATAGTTGCCTCTGAGAGGAAGGGTATAAGAAATATTGGGAGAAGGATAAGAGTTCCTATCTTCCAGCAACTCCAAGCATGAATCTAGACTGTTCACTGAAACTGAGGCCCTCTGACGAGGCCAAGGTTACCTAGTTTGTACACTTCATCCTACTTTCCAGCCGTAGACTAGCCATCTTTCTTCGGCTCCAATTCCTTCTTCCTGGACAGCACACCACTTGTCCTATAGCCTTAGCTTTGGCCTCAACCCTTTGTCTCTCTCTAGCCCAAGAGGACTTCTCTACTCAGGATGCAACCACTGCCCTCCCCTCTTCTGCCTATGCAGTTTCTAAAACTTCTGGCTCCAAACTCTTCCTCTTAAGGACATACCTATGGCAATGACAAGGTTTATCAGGGGTGGGGAAGGAAGAAAAAAAGTAAGAGGTAGCAAGGAAAAAGATAAGGAAACCAAAAGTCCCTAGAGGTATCACCACCTAAAAGGCAACTTTTTTACATTTCCATTCATTTAATCCATGGCATTAAATTAATTTCTGACACTAATGATCGGATAACTCTGGGCAATAATAACACTTACCTTACAGGAGTACTATGAGAATACAATGAGATTTAATGTATATACAGACATTTCTCACTTTATGTTAAGTGGATCATTCTACATAAGGCAATTTTTACAAATGCAAGTTTGCCCATAGACACAACGAAGGGTGAGAAGGGAGGCAGGAAGGGGGCCTATGGAGGGAGGGGGCTGGCACGGGGTTCAAGGCCACGTGGGGGCCAGGGATAGAGAAGTGAGAGCAGGAAGAGGAACATGCGGGGGTGGGGAGGGGCAGCCATAGGGGGCCTGACTGGAACTGAAAAGAACATTTTGGGGGGTGGGAGTCGTACAAACACTTGGGAGACCACACCCAGACACAGGCAGGAAAGGATGGGGAACACGTGGGGGCTGAGGACAGGTCCGAGAGCAGATGGACAGAAGATAGACACATGGGCGGGAGGAACAGGGCTAAGATTTTCTCTCTGAGCTCTGCACCTCTCCTAGTGTTCATTCTTTTGCTTTCACTTGGACTTTTTTTTTGGGGGGGAAGGGAGGTCACAGACAGCTGAGGTAAGGGGCAGAAGCAGAGAGCAAGAGAGAGCATAGTACTATACTGTAAAGTTAACATAGGTGTTTTTTTGGGATGTGGATTTCTTTCAGAATTCTTTATGGGGGGGGGGCAGCTAGGTGGCACAGTGGATAAAACACCAGCCCTGAAGTCAGGAGGACCTGAGTTCAAATGCGGCCTCAGACCAAACACTTGACACTTACTAGCTGTGTGAGCCTGGGCAAGTCACCTAACCCCTACTGCCAAAAAAATAAATAAACACATAAACCAGAATTCTTTATGTAAAGTTAAAGATTCATAATGCAAATTTACATAAAGTAAGAACTGTCTGTGTATGCACATACAGCAATGAAAGCAGAGACACACACACACACACACACACACACACACAAATACACGTATGCAGCACTTGCCAACCTTAAAGCACTATATAAATGTGACAATCCACTATCATCACTATTATTCTTGCCAATCAACCTCTCAGGGCCCCAGACAATCCTCTATGTCTGTAATTTGGAGAGAAAACGTTCACCTGCATTGGTGGAGGGATCTCCACTCAGGTAGCACACTCAAGACTAGGGAATCTGCTGTTGTTTAGTGGCTCAGTGGGGTCCGACTTTGTGGCCCACAAACCATAACCGTCCGTGGGGTTTTCTTGGCAAAGACACTGGAGTGGTTTGCCATTTCCTTCTCTGGTGGATCCTTTTGTCAGGCAATGAGCAGTTAAATGACCTGCCCAGGGCCACACAACTAGGACGTATATGAGGCTGGATTTGAACTCAGGCCGTCCTGACTCCAGACCCAGCCCTATATCCACCACCAGCTGCCTCCCATACTAGGAAATTACAGGCCTGGTAGAAATAAAACATTAGTTTAGACACAAGAAGCTAATATTCTCTTATCAAATTGCTAAGTAATTATTTACTTCCACATAGTAACATCTAACGTTTGTGGAGAGTTCTCATATACATGATCTCATTTAATCCTTACAACAGTCCAAATAAAGTACTGAGAAAGAGGCAGTGTTTATTCTATTTTTCTAGATGACAAACTGAGAGTGAGAAGTCAAGTGACTTGACCAGTATCACAAAGTCAGTGTCAGGACTCAGAAAAAAACACAGCACTCCGGACTCCCAGTGCGGCGTTCACTCTCCTGAACCACGAAGGTGACTTGAGCCTCAGGGAAAAGCCTGTGCGTATGCACGCCGCCTGACCGGAACGGCAGTACTCACCACACGCCGAGCAGCTGTACGGTCGTTCGCCAGTGTGCCTGATCCTGTGCTTGACCAATTTGCGTTGCATGTTAAAAGATTTCCCGCATTCGTCACAGGTGAAGACTTTATCAGCGGTGTGAGTCTTTTTGTGTTCCTTTAAATTGCTAAAGTTACTAAACCCTAAAAAAGGATGCAACAGGAATGAGCTCAAGATGGACCCTTTGCATTTTAATCAGAAATCTTTCAGAGAGAACAGTGAAAATTCTGGTACTACCTCGACCACAGATGTCGCACAAATGTGGTTTTTCTCCTGAGTGAATAATAATGTGCCGTTGGACATCACCAGAGGCTGCAAATCTGTAATGGAATATGAAAATTCAATTAAGGGTGTTTCAACACTACTATGAATCTTCATAAGTGCGTGTCACTGAGGGAGAGGATGTACTGAATTCTTAATCAGACTGTGATCAAGAGTGTGTAGTCCATCTTTATCTAAAGTACCTATTCTAAAACTGGCTTTTAAAAAAGAAATTAGGACTTGATGTAGGCAGGCATTACAAAGAAAAGAACTGTTTCATAAATCTTTCTTACCCTGTTTTACAGACTACAGAACCAAGCATTTTACTATTGATCATCATTATGCCAGTGGTTTTATTCTTATTAACTATAAATAATAATATTGATTACATAAATTATTTTTCAAAGAACTTCAAGAATTTTACGGGTCAAAATGCAGTATAAAATAATATATTCAGAAATAAAATAGAACAGAGAGGAGCTAAAGCAGGCTGCACAATCTGTGGCCTGCAGGCTCTAAGTGGCCCGGGGGCACGCCAAAAGATTTTGGGCAACCCTCGAAAAGCGTGGAGGATGTTTTCCTCCACATTTTTTGAGGACTGCCTGAAATCCTTTGGCAGGCTGCCGGTTGTGCAGGCCTGATCTAAAGGAAGTAAATAAAAGCAGATCCTGCTAGGAGTCCGAGACGTGAGGCAACGCACAGCGACGAGGAAATGGCAAGGGGCTAAGTTCTAGACCGAGCTCTGATAAATGTTTTTTATCTAATTTTATAAGGTATAGAACCAGATGTTGTAACATTTATCATTATATAAAGTGCCTTTCCTAAAAGAAAAATGAAAATTAATTTTTAAATAGAAAAAAGAACCTTACTGGGCAAGTCACTTCCCTTCTTTGGGACTTATTTCCTAACCTTTAAAATGAGACATTTGGATTACATATTCCACCTCTAACATCCTATGATTCTATGAATAAACTATTACAATTGGGTACTGAATTTGGTTGCGAGTTTTAGAGGGGCTAAGACAAAAAAAAATTTTGTTAGGATATACTACTTTTGGTTTTCTAATAAGAAAATATATACAAATTTAATTAAATGCAAGAGTTGCTTAGAGCCCTGAGAGAAGAAGCGTCATGCTTAGGGTCACAAAGCCAGAATGTATCAAAGGCTGGACTTGAACCCAGGTCTTCCTGGCTCTAATGCCAGTTCTCAGTGTCTATGACCTATTGCTTCTCATAAACAGGAATAATATTTACATTTACATAATTTCACAAAAGAAACAAATACATTGTTCATAAAGATGAATCTTATATTAACCCTCTATATAGGAAGACATTTTTAACACTGTTCCTATGGAACTTGCCCCTTCTTACTAACATTTTTTTCATCAAACATCATATTTTAAGGGAACCAAGTAAGGATATTAAATGGAATAAGCTCATATGTTGGTTTTCACGGGAATACAACCTATGCTTAAAGAGTATATTTTTGTATATGCATAGGAATAAATCCAGCACCAACCTTTTCCCACAGATTTCACAGATGTAGGGCTTTTCGCCAGAATGCCGACGTAGATGAGTCTGTAGATTACCTGCCTGCAAAGAAAAGAATGCAAGAGTTTTAGAAGGACTCCATGAATTCAGAAGGATACTTACAATTGATGATGGAAAAAAAAAATCAAAATGTCAGCTCTAGCTTCTAGTCTAAATTATGGCCTAAACACAGAAATTGAGAAAGGTCCCTTGCTGCAATTACCAAAGAGCAGTATAAATTCTACTGGAGTAGCAGTAACTCATTAACTTGCTAAACAAGTGGCATAAGTTAGATTCTTGATACTTGGTCAAAATTTTGCAAAGTAACTCCTTGCCTAAAGTATATGGCAATGTATGAAATACTGGGGATCTATAGATACAAAGACCCTGCTGTCAAGGGGCTTACAATATAATGTGATAAAAAAAATATGAAACAAGAGGCAGTGAGAAGTGCAAAGGACAGGCTTATGTAAAGTTTTATTAGAAATCTGAGAAAAGAGACAAAGCCCATTTAAAAAGGTGAAAGCTAAGCTGGGGACCTGAAAGGGGGGAGGCACTTCAACAGATGAAGTTTGTTTGTTTTACGGTTTTGTTTTTTTTTTGTACTGGAAGGAAGGGGTCCACTGTAGCATTAGGTAATGGTACGAACAAAGGGTCACATGGGGAAAGGCACGACAAGAAAAGAGAATAAAATCCAGTCTGGCCGGAGCCTAGAGTACACGTGAGGATGAGACTGAGTGGAAAAGGTAGGTAAAGCACTGTCATGGGCATCTCTGAATGTTAGGATTAGTTCATACGTTAAACACACAGTGAGGAACCATTGAACAATTCTGAATAGTAAAGAGCATTCCTGGTACATTATATGAGCAAAACTGTAAAGGACGGATTGGAGAGGAGACAGAGTAGAAGCAGGAACACCAGTAAGGAAACCACTACAATTGTGTAGGAGAGAAGAGATAAGGGCTTGTATCAGATTAATTTCAGTGGCAGCTGTAAGGACGGGACAAATATAATAAACAGTATGGAGTAAGATATAACAACACTTGATTACCAGTTGAATGTATGCTCTGAGAGAGACGGAGGAGTGAAAAGATGAATGAGATAATAAGCCTGGAAGGACGGTGATGATAATGAGAGAGAGACAGAGACAGAGAGAGAAGAGAGAGAGAGAGAGAGAGAGAGAGAGAGAGAGAGAGAGAGAGAGAGAGAGAGAGAGAGACAGACAGAGGGAGGTACAGATTTGGCTGGGGGTGGGGAGAAGAGTTTGATTTTGGACGTATACAGTTGAAGTATGAGCTAGAAATCTATTTCCACTCTGGGTAAGAGAAACAAAGAAACCTCTATTTCTCTGAGGCGCAAGCACAGGGGAGGGGAAAATAAAGAGAGGAGAGACAGAATGCCTCATCAGACCACATCTGGAATGTCGTGCTTAGTTCTGAGTAATATTTTAAAAGGGTCTGCATAACCAGGAGGGTGAAGGTAAATGATGTCATATACTCTTTGGAGAAAGGAACTGGAGCTGTTTAGCCTGCAAGGGAGAACTTGGGGGAGCTAACTTCAGGTACCTGAAGGGCTGTCTTGTGGAGGACAGATTAAACATCTTTTGCTTGGCTCCAGATGACAGAATTAGGATTAGTGGGCAGATTGAGGGAGGCAAATTTCAAGCCAACATCACAGAACTAGCTAACAGTTCGAGCAGCCCCCCAAATGGAATGGACTCCCTCAGGAGGCAGTGGAGGTGTCTGTGCAGAGGCTGGGCAGCCAATTGTCAGGCATACTGTAAAGAGCGAGTAGGGGTCAGATGCTACAATGACTCTTGAATCTCTTCCATCTGAGACTACATAGTTCTAGATTCCTAAGTGGCATTTCAACTTTTTTCTCTAATAGGATATTTTTAATAAAAGAAGCTACTTTAATTTTAACATAATATTTCCTTGATAAGCGCAGTTAGTTCCATTAGATGGGTTTATCATTTTAACTTTTCTACTAATCTACAAAATGGCAGTTAATCAGCCATGCAGCTATTTATATTTGTTCCCCCAGAAATGTTACAAAGTATAATTCAAGTCAGTGGAGATAATAATGTTCACGTAAAAATCAACATTAAATTGCAAAAAATACAGTAAAAACAATACTACAATGGTATCAAGAGTAAAAAAACCAAAACCAAAAAACAAACAAAAAAACACGCTGCACCTCTTTTTTGCCTCTAATCACAATTTAAATGACTTCAAAAAGATATCTTGTCTTGGCACACAACTGTCATAATTTAGCAAAGAAAGTGTTCTGAATGGATCATCTTCCCATTTTAAAAAAATTTTAAAATTACTATTCTGTTGCTGAGAAATCAACCGGAAAAACAGAATCCAGAAGTCATAATGCGCAGGTAGTTATTACCAGAGATGATTCACAATAAGTGGACAGTGGAACAATAGCCACAAAGAGTCTGTTTCAACTGTAATGTTCGTTAAAGATACGTATACAATTCATATGTATGTTAAATGTTAGCAAAAAAAGTCTAAATTTACTCTGAGTGGACATGCACACATTTTTAAAAAATACTTAAATATTATGTAATGTATATAAAACTCGATAAAATTCTGTAAGATGCTTTTTGGAGAGGAGAGGAGTCTGGACCTCTGATTCCATTGGTATGGGAAGCTCCAAATGTGGAAACTTCCTCTATCAGTACAGACTGACAAGCTATTAATGGCTTTGTAGTTAAAGGGTAGTCTGGAAGTAGGCACTGAAAGGTTAAGTTGTTGTCCCATCAACACATAATCAGAGTATGTAATTTTTATAAATGCCAGGAAATGTGTTTTGTGAAAAAATATAGCTGGCCTGCATAGAACAGTATTACAAGGAATCTTTACAAAAATACGTCGTTTGTCTGGAAACAGAACATTTAATGAGTTTCTATTAGTAAGAGGATGTGATATTACATCTGGAAGATCAATCTTTTTTGTATTAAATTTAAGAAAAAATTAAGCAATTATAACTATCTATGAAGCGCCATCTGGTCAGCTATTATTTTATATTACCCTGTATTTTGAAAGCCAAAAATTATAACATAAAATTATGAAATCTGCTATGGTTTTATTGAATCTTTTGATTTGTTTTTAACTGTCTTTTTCTCTTAAATAAATTATATAACAATTGATTAAAAAACCCACATCTTCCATTTAAAATTGTAACATGATAATATCAAAAGGGCTTAATTTTTCTTAGCTATTTAATACTGGAAATTTATTATGAATTTTCTTAATTTGTGAAAATTATCCCTACAGCTATATCACATACCAATTGTATTGCTACATTACTTCCTTAGTGCACAGATTTTATACTTGAGTGCTCCAAGATTCTGGAATTTCATTAGTGTGGACGTTCCCTCCACTGATGCTGATAATAAGCCCTCTAGGACTTTAGTCTTCCAAAGTTACTGTGGCTAAAACCATCCTGAAGCTGCAGCCAACTTGGGGAGCATCTCTAAGCACATCTGGGCTGTTCTCCGACAACAGAGTGGCCGTACATCACTGGACCTAAAACGGAACATTTCTAGCTTGGGAGCATCTTTCAGGACTTGTGTTTTGTCTTTATAATTTTTGAAAAACCATAGTCACCTCTCTGCCACATTGAAAGGTTAGTCAACATAAAAATCCTATCATCTTAGGAGTTGGAAGGGACCTCAGAGGTGAACACTTAGCCAATGCAAGAACCGTTACTGTAACTTTCTAACAGGTAACTTGCCTTCCTGCAACTTCCACCCAATGGTATTAGTTTTACCCTCTACAACGACACACAAACAACTCCCTTTGAAAGATGGCAGCTCTGCAAATACGCAAAGACAGCTCTCTTGTCTCTCATTAGTCCCCTCTTGTCCAGGCTAAATATAAACAGCTATTTCGTCTGTTCCTGATGTGCCATTACGGCCATCATCCCTTAATGGCAAACTCCCATTTGCTAATGTCCCTCTTAAAATATGGTTGTTGTTGTTCAGCCATTTCAGTCATGTCTAACTCTCCATGACCCCATTTGGAGTTGTCTTGGTAAAGATACTAGAATGGTTTGCCATTTCTTTCTCCAGCTCATTTTACAGATGAGGAAACTGAGGCAAACAGGGTTTAGTACTTGCCTAGGGTCACACAGCTGGTATGTGTCTGAGGCCAGATTTGAACTCACAAAGATGAGTCTTCTTGACTCGAGGCCCACCACTCTATACACTGTACCACATAGCTGCCCATAACATACGTTACCCATAACTAAAGACTATACTGCAGATATGACCTGGCCAGAATGAAACGGGATTATTATTAGCTCCTGTGAAACGGACATTATATCAACTAATGAAGGGATTAAACTTGCTGTTTGAGCCACTGAGAGTAGAGCAGGAACAATGAGTTGATGGTAAGGGACATATCTTTTCTCAAGTTAGGGGAAAATGTTCTAATAATAAGCACCATCCCAAAACAAAATGGACTACCTCAATGCATAATGAGTTTCCCATCACTGAAGGATTTCAAGTAGAAGCTGAATGACTACTTGTTATGGATGTTATAGTAGCAATTCATGTTTCAAATATGGGCTGTACTAGATAACCTCTGTGGTCTCTCCTAATTCCATAATTCTATGATGCCAAAGATTGTGCCAGCTGCATCATATAATGACTTTGTGGTTAACTAAAAACTCCAGATCTTCAAGTAAAACAAAATTAGAATTTTAAAACAACTTCCAAAAAAACAATTAGGATCTTACCAATAAAGCCATTTTTCTACCTTTAAATTTAGCAATGCAGCCAGAATCCATTCTAAGTCATTGCTACCATAGCAAGCCTTCATGCTAATCACGAGGGAGTCTTTAAATCCATTAAGTTCATACAGATTTACTTTAATCCATAAAAGACTGTTCTGGTTAAGTTCTTAAGAAATTGATTATTAGATGACCACATTTATTTTATCCATTACATGCACAGTTCTTTATGAGAAAATTAACAGCTGTACCTATAAGGATTGTATAATTTAACTGTAATTTAATTGTATGATATAATTTAAAGAAAATAGATATGT